ACAAAGTCGCTCCAAACAGTCGACAAGTCCATGTTTAACCAAGAGGACAACGTCAGTTCATGCATTTCCCTTTGGAGTCCTCGAGTCTCGCTAAGACTGGTATGCCTCAATGTGCACATTTGGCTACAGGTTAGTCAACAGGCAGTACTTGCCCGCACACTAGAGGCCTATCGATCGATATTTGCTGTTTATCAGAAACCCGCCTAAAAGATTCGAGCTCCGTGCTTACTTTGGGATCTCCCACATGCGACGCTGGTGGCACATTCTCATTGAGCCTGTCTGGCGATGATGCAGCTTCAAATGCCGGTCCAGCTGGCGTCGACATTGTTTTGAGTACCTGGACTGAAGGTGCCCTGATCGACTGGATCGCTCTCAACAGCCAGATGTGCGCCGTTAGATTGGATGGCTCCTTTCAGGCTTCGAAGTCGAGCGGGAACAAACGGTTCCTGTTTGTCATTTCGGCCTACGCCCCTACAAACTGTAGCACTGATTCGGTGAAAGATGATTCCTATCAACAATTTCACGATCTAACTCATTACAAAGGAAGCACGGAGAATGTGGTGTTGCCTAGCGATCTAAAAGCCCAAGTCGGAAAATTGTCCTCTGATGAACTTCATCTTGGCGGAGAACATGGTGTACGCTGTGTAAAGATGCTCGTCTCATTCTCGTGAGCACCAACTTTCGACATAGCACCCGCAGAAGAGTGACTTGGCGCCCACAGCCTCGGACCAGCCGTGGACGCAAATCGATCACATCCCGATTAGTTACCGTTGTAGAGGCTGTGTCCAAGACTGTCACTCGATTTGGAGCACGGGCGTGCAGACCTCCGGGTGCGTTTCGGTGGACATCCGCAACGTCGATGTGAACGGATTGACACCAACAAGATGGCGAAGCCAGGTGTTCTGAATACGTATCGAATTGCGCTAACCTGCGGGTTGAGTAAGCATCCATTGAACACCGTCGGAGATCACTGGTCGCATATTCGTCATACGTTACTATCAGCAGATATGTCTTTATGTGGCAAATCAAATTGCCAAACTGGACATTAGGTCTCTACACAGTCTCTGAAACTTATGGATGCTTGAACGTATTCCAGCTGGAAGCGAATATAATGAGACACGTAAAAATCTCCGAGTAAAACTGCATGCTAGTCTGAAGAAAGACCGCGAAGTCTGGTGGTCTCATCGTGCCTCGGAGATGGAAACATCCGTTGCCCTTGGTAACCATCGGAAGTTTGTTAGGAGGAACAAGCAGCAGGAGAACTGGTGTTAGCAACACCATACGCGACGAGAGTGAACAGCTGATCCACAGTCTGTCAAAACGCTTGGAATAAGGCAATTTAACCAATCTGTGATCGGTTTCTTTTTCAGGCAGTAAGCGCCCTTCTCCCTTGGCCGTCTCTTTGGATCCGCCCTCACGCGCAGAAGTCGAACGTGAGATCAGGCTATTGAAATTGCATAAGGCCGCAGGGGCCGATAGAATTCCCCTAGCCCTCTTCAAATTTGGTAGACCTGCTCTAGTAGATGATTTACAAGAGTTGATAGTGAAATTTTGGGAGCAGGAGACGGTCCCGACAGACTGGAGCCGTTCCCTCACTGTCCCAATTTTCAAGGGAGGCTGCCGTTCGGAATGCGGCAATCATAGATGGATCAGTCTGATCTCAATTGACTCTAAATTGCTTGCGTCTGTTGTTCTCCACTGATTGACTGGCACTAGTGAAAGCCAGATCCGTGAAGAGCAAGCCGGGTTTCGTCGAGGTCGGGGCTGCATCGACCACATCTTCACCTTGCGTCAATTGTTGGAGCACCGCCATGTTTACTGGCGACCCACCGTTGTCGTGTTCCTTGACATAAAAGTGCCTTCGATTCAGTCGACCGATGTGCCCTTTGGGATTGTCTACTCAGGAAAGGTGTGCCTGATAAATACGCAAACATTATCAAGGCGCTGTGCGCGCATAGTTCGGGCAGAGTGAGGGTTTATTTCAAACTGTCGCCACCCTTCAGTATCACCAGCGGTGTGAGACAACGTTGCCCGCTGTCACCTTTCCTATTTAACTTCGCAGTTGACAGTCACAGAAACAGCATTCGATGGACACGATCTAATAGGTGTGGAGCTGCTTCCTGGTGAGCGACTTCCTGACTTGGAGTATGTGGACGAGTTGCCCTAAACTGTGACAGCTGCCAATCATGCCAAGCAGCACTGGACCGACTAGCACTGGCTGTCTATCGTTTTGGGCGATGCTTTACTCTATCGAAATTCAAAGTACATATCCAAGATTGGCAGGGACCCAACCCTGCGCTAACACTTGGTGGTGATCAGCTAGAAGGCCTTCAGCGCAGCTATATTAACGTCCGTAGGATCGAAGATGAGGTTACGAAGCGTCTCGTCAAAGGTCGAGGTGCTTTTGCCAATCTCTGCCATCTGTGGCGCAAACGCGACATTACTCTCGTCCTGAAGGGCAGAGTTTATAACGCAGTCGTCCGTTCAACCTTCCTATATGGTTGTGAAATCTGGCGCATCAGGTCGACAGATTTAAAGAGTCACGTCACATTCGATCATCGCCGCCTTCGCAGTTTTGCTCATGTTTGGTGGGAGCACCGCGTGAGCAATAAGCGTGTTCCGTGTCGCGTATTTGGTGCAGGAAGAGCGAGTTAACCGCTCAGCCCCAGGCTCTGATGGCTGGGCCACGTATTGCGCATGCCAGCACACCGACTTCCGCGACGTGCATTGTTTTCGCGCCGGGAGTGCGGTTGAAAGAGGGAAGGCCAAGTGATGACTTGGTCGAGAGGAATGAAAATACTCACTTCGAAACTGACTTCTGTTGGTGCATCCCGATTGCTTTACTGTGGTCCGAAGGACTATGAACACGTTTGGTTGGACGCACTTGCTGGCATAGCTAGCAGCAGGCCCCAATGGCGTTTGTGTTGTGAGCTTTTGTCCACCCCTTCCCTTTAGGTTCCCCTCCAATTCCGATCTCACGTAAAACGCATAATACAATATTTAACATCATATTTTTGTAGCAATTTTTTAGCCTCTTATATTTTTGTATTGCGGCAAATCAGCTGAGGTGTTTCTCACCTTCAGCTAACGTGTACTGATAATGATGTGTTTATCAAGAAGCATTTTGTAGTAAACGCCTCATCTGCAGCGACAACGATCGCGAGAAAAAAGGTCGTTTTCTTTTCAGTCCCCTTTGATCTGCTGAATAATAAATTGTCAACGGCAGTGAATTAAACGTACCCAGCCGCTAGAGTTCACGTCCCTTGTGAGACTGCTCCAGATAGGAGACAAAATTGCTGTCCAGTCAGTCATTCGTTCTATATCAGTTCACCTGCAGTTGTTGTGCACGGTAAATTGGACATACGACCAAGTGTCTTCTGAAGCAGATAGCAGAACATTGTCCGACTCCACTTATTTTGGAGTACCTGATAAATAGTGGACGTCATCTCCAGCAAAGGACCCTTTTAAAGTGCTCTACATTGCAGTGAAACGAACCACGAAAGGAATCAAAAATGGTATGCTGGTCAGTACAGAAAGGACCGTAATCGAGAAACTGCAGTCGGTTATACAAATGGAAAGCAATTGTGCAAAGAATTATCTTACCATGGTCATAGATCCGTCGGCTGACTTTCGGCCCGTCGATCTATGGATGCGTATTTAAATTTGACTGCTGAGCGCGGCATCTCACAAACTCCACACAGCATAACTGTGCTATGCCAGCAATAGCCTATTATCCATACTATAATGAGACCCAGAATTACATTTGCCTGACGAAAATTGTCGATAACAAATTTCTTCGTAAATATCTTTTGATTAAGTCTTCAATGGGCATAGTTTACAAGTTGAAATAATAACTATTGGTTCAGAGTACACAACTGATGCTACTCTACCTAAAATGATGATAATGATTTGTAGAAAGTAGAAGTCACTATTAAAATTCACGCACGATAATGTGCCTCGACGGGGAATCGAACCCGGGTCCACGAATTTCCGGTCCGCTGCTCTACCACTGAGCTACCGAGGGCTGACGATTAGGTGTGCAAATGTTAAAACATGACTTCTGCTTGGTGCGCGACGTATTGCCAACGGGCTCACAGTACCTGTCCTGGTGTTGCAGATTGGCTCACTCACCCGTCACTTCCCAATGGGCTGAAGTATCTGTCCTTCGAATGTCCAATGGGCGATAGTAGATTAAATTTGGATGTTTGTGAGTAGGGTAAAGATTGTAGAAAGTAGAAGTCACGCTTAAAATTCACGCACAATAATGTGCCTCGACGGGGAATCGAACCCCGGTCCACGAATTTCCGGTCCGCTGCTCTACCCATTGGCAATACGTCACGCACCAAGCAGAAGTCATGTGTTAAAATTTGCACATCTTATCGTCAGCCCTCGGTAGCTCAGTGGTAGAGCAGCGGATCGGAAAATCGTGGACCGGGGTTCGATTCCCCGTCGAGGCACATTATTGTGCGTGAATTTTAATCGTGACTTCTACTTTCTACAACTTTTACCCTACTCACAAACATCAAAAGATGATGATTTGATTTAGGCATAAGAGACGAAGTGAAAAATCGGTATGTGTAAAAACCAGTCACTGAGAAGGCGGTGTTGTAACAAGGTGGTGTGGATAAAATTTGCTCCCTTCAGATTACTACAGAACTGGTGCAAACTCTTCCAAACATCAACCAACACGCTTCAGACTAACGGGCAGTTGCTACGGTTTGACAATGGTAACAGGACGTCTCGGCAAAGTACCACAAGTATCAGTAGAAGCAGTGAAACTACGAAAATTGCTTAACTTTTTTAATAAATCAACACCACATGCATGAGCAACAAGCTCCTCTTGAATCCATTTGGAAATTTTTTTAGCGTAAATAACCGATTAACGGACCGTACGGTGGTGAAACATATTGCTTCCAGCGACTAAACGGGATTGCGGATAAAATGATGTCGCGATAAGCTTTTCCCAAGGAAATTCAAACAAAATAGAAGGGCGAATTCACCGTCAGGTCCGCGACCGCCAGTTCGCACCAAAGGGACAGCATCCACCGTGTATTCATCCGATTTCATTATGCGATTCACAGCCCATAACCGGCTCAGCTTGTGCGGATGTGTGATGCCGGGATGGCGAAAGAGAGGATTGCTGGTGGACAAGTTGCGAACCAACTGCCTAAAAAAAAGAGTGGATACGATACGATGGAAAGGGGATGCGGAAAATTTGGCCCCGGCAACCACAACAGAAAGGCAACTTCAATAAAATTCCCCTCTATGAAACATCCCAAGCTCGACAAACATGTGAAAACTGGACCGTAGGATTCTCATTTCACAGCGATTACAATGTGCCTCCTGATGAGGGTTAGTAGATAACACACAAATAATTGTACGGGCAGAAACGAGGTGACCCACCCCGGAAATTTGTTGCATTTAACGATATCAACCGTGTTTTCAGTTGACTATGTTTAACCGACGGTCAAAGTTGGTGTAGATTACGGTCAGTAAACAATGAAATTGCTTGGAATACGTGAAAATAGCTATTTTCTAACCAATTTTATAACTTTTTGGGGAAAGTATCTGGGTAGGAATTACACACTGCTGGTGCGCGTTGAAACCATTCACCATAAAAGCAAGCAATTTGGAACTATAATTGCGTGACATAGCCTGACTAATATCGATGATAACGGCCCGCTTGCAGAACAACAACGATTCTAGTAACTTCGGGACGATGGAAATTACAAATAGCATAAGACTCTGCATTCACGCTAAAAGAGCCTGTTTGAGTTCTGACGAAGCCAGGCTAGACAGTTTATACGAGGAAAGAACTGTGGTGGAAAAGACAAGCAGTAGTAACACACGCTACATCAGATAACATAGAGTCAGAGGGGATTAGTGAGTCCGCAATCGTTTGAGGGAAGATAGTAATAAAACTAGATTACGGCTTACGATTACGCCAGCCGGTTCAACATGAACAATGGGTGATGGTCGCACGCAGTCACCCTCACAAGAGCAAAGGTCGACGTTCCCGTTCTATCGAAATTCAACCAAGGTGAGCCGGCGTTTGAAGGCTATAGTCTCGGCCCGAATAGTGCAGAGATAAGGACAACGCCGGATCGCCGGTTTATCCCCGGCAACTTCAAACCGCGTAGCTAAGTGGGCACAGTTCCTCGATGACACGGAGTACAGCTAGAAGAGAGAAATGTACTGCCTTCTAATTTCAAAGAAGCCGTGGGACGCGCACGAAATTCCATGTACGACTGGGCGATTAGGACGAAGTTGTAATTCAAAGCAAAGCACTCTAACTTATAAGTGCACCAATTGAAGCGAAGGCCCATATCCGGATGAATTAGGTATAGTACCATCTAAACTGCAAAAAGTCAAAATATTGGCGGTCATTCAAGTATTCCTGTGTACAACACCCGGCAATCAAAAAGATGCAACTCGACTAGTAATGTCTGAAACGTTCATAAAGAACGACCATCCATCCCAGGATTCACCAAAAGCTCTGTGCCTACCAATATGAAGATACTATTGCAACGCACTTAAGAAGCTGCCTGGAATGGTGACGAAGCGTCTGCAAGCGTGGTTTCCACCTCGATTGACAAATCGACATCGCAACTACCATTCGGACTGCTGTAAATTGGGCCACAAGGTGAATCGAGGAATGGCGTGGAAAAACTCGTCAAGATCTCTTTGGAAATAAGTAACTAGAGTTGCAGCTTCGCGTCTATCTCCGTCCTTCGTCGTGTCAACCATCCAAATACAAAGGCACGCCCTTAACGTTGCTCTCATATTAGAGTCTCACAAGCTGACTGCCTCTAACAAATAGAACAGAAAGACAATGATAAACTGCACTTACCGCAAACTGCCAAATTCAACCAAACCAAGGAACCCCACTGAATGAACACAAACAAAAGAGCCAAGTTTCTGGATGCACTGAAACGCCATAAGCTGAATTACTACTGAAATAGAAAGAGACGATAAATGTATCCAAGAGATCAGACACAGGAGTGGATGTTAGCATAAATTGCTAGAATCTTAACGTCAACAGCAACGTTTTAGTTTTCAAACAATGATACGACAGCCACCCAACGCTATGAGTGCTGCAAACATCCAGGATGGATATAGTGATGCAGGACAAACGGCTGTCACGAAAAGTAAGACAGTTATGGTGGGGTGAGGAACGTGGGTGGTAGTGGTGGTAAGAATTTTAGATCAAGATGGATTGGCGAACATAAAGTGAAATGTGAATATCGACAGATAATGTGGCGGAAAATTAGATAGCACCAGCAGCACTGAAGCATGATTGCTGCGGACCGATTAAAAGTGAGAGAATGCTTCAGGGAAAAAGGATGGGCGAACTCATAGGATGCTTTGTGTTGCTAATGCGTAGGAACTTGTCTCATTCCAAAGAGAATGTTCCGGTCTCTACGAAGTTTTATCTGCCGTTAATTGTGAAGAATTTAAGCACACAAATGTAACCTTGAAGGGCAGTGTTGTGTAGTCCACGACACTAAAAAGGAATCTAGGCAGAGATAACAAGCCTGTTGGTTACTCATACAGCACTTGAAGTTATTGTTTTTACTGACTAGTTGTCTTCAGATGTCACTCGTCACTACATAAAATCACAGCCAACAAATTCATATTGGCGAGTTAATCACGAACATTCCACGTGTTTTCGATTATCATCACCATAATTATGCACGTTAGATAGAGGTGTAAGACACCTCAGCTACTGTGCCGCAATACATAAAAATAAATGCAGCAGCTGCATACCAGCCGACCTACCAGCAACGGATGGGCATCGTTCCGTTAAGCTACCAGCCGGCTATTAGACAACAAAAAATTATTATGTAAAATTATAATGCTACAAAATGGGATCGTGGTTCGAAGGGGAGACTAAAAGGGATGGGGAGAGACAAAGAAAGAGTAGGAACGCTACTGAGGTTGGCTCCTAGCCAGCCGGTGGGCTGGCATGCGTAATACGTGGCCCAGCCATCGGAGCTTGGTGCGTGAAATGACGGTGCTGAGCAGTTCATTTCCTTTTCCTGTGCCGTAAACAAGGCGTCGAACACGCTCGTTACTCACGCGGTGTTCCCACCAGATGTGAACCAAACTGCGAAGGCACCGGTGGTTGAACGTAACTAGCTTTTTTACGTCCGCTGATTTAACGGACCAGGTTTCGCAACCGTACAGTAGGGTCGAACGTACCGCTGCATTGTACACTCTACCCTTCAGAGCAAGAGTGATGTCGCGCTGCCGCCATAGGTGGCGAAGGCTAGCAAAAGTACCTCGAGCATTTGCAATACGGTTCGTGACCTCACTTTCGATCTCAAAGGCGCTGATACAACTTCAAAGATACTTGAATTCCTGGACGACTTCTAGCGGATCCCCACCAAGGGTCAGCGCAGGAGGCGATCCCTGCCAATTTTGGAAGAAAGCTTTGCACTTCGATGGTGTAAAGAAAAGTCCGAAGCGGCTCGCAGTCAGTGCTAATCTATCCAGTGCAGCTTGGCACGTCTGGGAGCCGTCACAGATGAGGGCAATGTGATATGCATACTCTAAATCAAGAAGTCTTTCTCCCGAGAGTACCTCCACACCTTCTAAGTCGTGTCCAGTGAATGCAACGTCCATGATTTCGTCAATAGGGAAGTTGAATAGGAAAGGCTGGCAGCAAAGAGAGGAGGTTTTACCATGGCTTTTGCCAGCCTGTTCAGCGTTCATACAGACCTACATTAAGAAGACCGGACGATAACGGACCAACAGAGGACCATAACAATGCCCCAGCGGAAGATCGTGTGAGAACCGCAGAAATATGCACAATAAGAATGGATACAGAAGCAGAGTGCGCCACGAAGCCCACAGGAGAGAGTACGCAGACTGTTGAAACTTCTGGTGGTCACAGTTGATGTATAACGGTTGCTGCTATTTGTCACAATAAATAACTGCATTCACACCTTGGGTTCTTAAAGTAAGATAGCTGCAGAAAACGGGGATGAGAAGAGGTATATTGATTGCGTAAGATTCAAAGCACAGCCTGTTGATGCATTCCTTGAGGCCTAACTGCAATCACGCACACACATGGAACATCAACTCAACTTGCAGTTGTACCCATTCACAGAGTAGCCGTTCACCAAACACACAGGCGATTAATCATTTGGTCTTCGCAGAACGGTCACGTGCACATACATCCTAATGCATATATATCCATTCGAATAAACATGGGTGAAGGTGTACCAACCCTTAAAGCAAGAACCATAACGCAACACAGCAAATCAGAAGCAAGGACTATGTACTTCGTCTAATGACGTGAATAGCCAGTGAACCAATAGTAGGATCGACACTAATCAGCAGCCGAAAGCACAACGAAAGCGACGACACAATAATCTACAGCCGTGTAGATTGCTCGTGTAACGCAATGCTACTGAGATCCAGGATTGAGCCTGCCGAATCCTAATCTACGAAACGGAAAGGAGTACATGCATTAGTGAATAGTAGGGTGATTTATGGTGTTTTTGAGAATATTCACCGCAGCTAGACTCAACCAGACAGCCACCACACATTTAGGAAAGTGCTAGATGACGGCCTCGCCCAGTTGGGACTCGTAAGTAGCGCGTACCCGATGAAGCCTCAAGGACTCGGCAGTAAGTGTTTTAGCAGCTTACATGCATTTTTGATTGGTCACGGCTTGCAAAAGAAATCGTAGCTCTGGGGGCCAGCCTTGTCCTCTGTATATCCATAACCCGCATGACAGTGGAAGATGAGCCGCGCTATATCGCAGTTAGATCAGTCATGGCGGTCCGCCGTCGTCACCCATGGCTAAGTGGCAGACTAAGTGGCTGGCTCGAATCCGGCGGATGCGCGCTACTGACGAGTCTCAATAGGATGAAGCGGCTGTCTAGCGATTTCCCGAATGTTTGGTGGCTATATGGCTGAGTCTAGCTGCGATGGATCCTCTCAAAGAATGTGTACATATCACGTACTCAAAGAGCTCAGGAAGAAGCAGAGAATAAACGGTTGATGGCTTAACACGAGTGCGGTGGTGGAGTACATCGCACCAATTCACACAAAAAAACGAGAAAATAACGCTTCGATGAAGTCCATAGAAATCCGCACATGCGTAGGGAAAAGTAAGGAAGGAAAAGCACGCTCATCTAAGGGTCAAAACGAGTGACTGATGGTCGCATGAAACGGTTTATTACAGGCCTTTTATACAAAAAGCCATCTTTTGTACCAAAAGCCGTGACCGATGCGTTTCAGTGGAAGTGAGCGGAGGTTGTGACAAATTCGTCGCTATGGTGTATGATCGCTAAGTCGTTGACTGTGACAAAAATGCACAAGGATAACAGCTCACAGAACACACGCCAGCAATTCGCAAAACAGCTTGATGATCAGATGCATTTGGAGAAAAGAGTGTAAGAGCTTATGTACAGCTGAACACAGGGTTGCGGTATGCAGGGTAGCAGGGAACCACTCCCACTAAGAAGCTGTTAACTTGGACGAAGACTGGCCGCCAAGAACGTCAGCTAATTCGAGTAGATGAGGAAGAAGACGTGATCGGATAGTAGCACGGTCGACCACTGGAAGAGAGACACGATGCAGAACTCCATTCCGATCAGCGTCTGCGAGTACCGCTTTGCGACCCCGACGATACACCGGATCATAGTGATGTCGTAGCAGTGCAGTGACAAGGCTCACGAAGTCTCCCTGATTCACCCACGTCCTCCACTCCGTAAGACGTTGGGACGAGTGATAACCAGCGAGTCTGAAGATATAACGTAAAGAATGTTGTAGACAAGTGTGGAAACGGAATGCGCGCGTCCGAGAATCAGGTGGGAGAAAATGATAGCGACGATACCAGCCTGTGCAAGCGCAGTCACCATAAATGTAACATCATGCTGAGCTTCAGGAAATATGCCAGCAATAGTAATTGAAAGGACACGAGAGAGAAAACATGAAAACCGAACATCAAGACCAGGTAATTCGAAAAGGCTGATATTTTCAACAAACAAAGCGTCATAGTGAGTTTCAGTAAACGTGAGTATGGTTTCGCCCAGCCGTCAATCACTTTGTTGCACTAAAGTAGTAGAGATTGTTTGGGTACTTTGAGTAGATTCCTCATTTAAATATAAAGTCAGGAGACCACCACACATCAACTAAGGTGCTGGTGGGGCCTTTAAATCGGCCGTGCCGTTGACACTGAACAATGCTTTTACAATGTCGCCATGGATACATTAGTTTTCTCAGAATATTTCAACATTGAAAATAGTCAAGCTATTTCCAAGGTCACCGCTGCTGTCCTTGCGTAATCTTTTAGAAAAATTCAAAATACTGCGCATGTGAAGATGGACGGTCCCGATTGAAAATCTAGCTTGTAAAACTGGCTTTAAATTATTCTGTCCGGAACTGTTTAATTATTGCGCTTTTACAATGAGTGGTAATTCAGGTGGCACTTCTGCACAGTGTCCTTTTAACTATTCCTGCAAATTTAGTTCTGACAGTGTAACTTTAGCTCATCCGTTGTCGATATTGTAAAGTGCTGAAAACGTACCCATCTGGATACCTAAAGCTTATTCTGACTTGACATGACTAGATGACCGTCATACTGGACTCTTTAACAGTGCGATCAGTCTCAAAATAAGCGGATAACAACGGATTCAGTGCTTAGATTAGTCCACATTAACGGTTGGTGCCGACTGGATTCATTTTAAGGCCATTGAAAGGCAGAATCACGCAAACTGCCATGGTGCCCAGGCGGGCACTAAATATACGAGGAAAAATCCTAGCACACAGAGGATTTTCGAAACAATAGCTGTGAATAGTTGTGATGTGACAACAGACATTACGACAGGTGCCAGCATGCTAAATACGACCCGACAGTGTCTCGACTGCAAACATGAACATCGAGTGCGGTGCCTGTAAGACATTTGGTGAAGCGATGCACTCGTGTGAGCCAAATTCGCGAAAACTAAGTTGGGTTTCGTCGAAGTTAGGTCTGTACTAACCACATGTTCATATTAGGTCAGCTGTTCAAAACCACGCTTGAAATTGCGATGCATCGTAGTGGTGTTCCTCAATATCAAAGGTGCTTTCGATTCGGTGGATCGATGTGTCATTTGGGATCGTCTGCTCAGAAAAGGTATGCCCGATAAGACTATGAATGTCATAAGAACTGTCAATCGTTTTCGGCTATAATTAATACCGTCAAAACGCAAAGTCTTCCGCTAAGATGACCTGGACCGATCCCTATATTTATCATTAGTGATGATGAGCAAAACGCTATCAAGCAGTCCAAATACCTGGGCAATAATATTAGAACCTGAGGAAGAGAAGTTCACGAGCCGCAAAGAAAAAGCCCCAACCGAAGCGCCGGCGCAACATTATTCTAGCTCTGAATGGCAAAGTTTACAACGCAGCCCTGCGTTCAAATTTTCTATGCGGTTACGACACCTGGCCTATCAGATCGAAAGGCCTAAAGAATCTTATTACGTTCGATATTCGCTACCTTCGCAGCTTAACTAACGATTAGTGGGAACACCGCGTCAGCAACGAACGTGCTCGGCGTCGCGTATTTGATGCAGAAAGAGCGAGTGAACCGTTCCGTACCGTTATTTCATGCAAAAAGCTCCGATGGATGGGTCACGTATTGCACGTGCCATCACACCGACTCCCGCGACGTGCTCTGTTTGCACAACTGCGGTCGGAGTGAAAGAAGAGAACGGGAGGCCAAGCGATGGCATGATCAAAAAGAATGAAGGCTCTGGAACAATCCGACTACCGGGCTGAAGTCTGTAGAACGATGAACACGTTTGATTGGATGTCCTCGATGACATGGCGAAGAGCAGACCACAGGAGAGTTTGTGCTGAATCAATGTGTCTTTCAGCTTCCGCTTAGCTTCCCTCTCCAACTATGGTCTCACACGCAATGTTTAGTATAGTAATAAGCATTAAGGAACACTGTAACACCCCGATGCACACGTCGACCACTGTCACCGATTTTGAGCCATGGCTTCTAAGGTCTACGACCAGCAAGTATCCGCATCTCTCGGACCCCAACCAGGTAATCGACAACCACCGACCGAGGCCAATAGTTTCGTATCTGTCAGCAATTGTTGACAGAAGTTTCGGGTTACTATTACTTTGTCCGTGGTCTGCATCCAGAATCAGCCAATCTCCACCTCAGGTCAGGTTGGCCGATAATTAATGGAGGTCACCGCATTTATGGCAGAATAGAGTCAGTACGAATTAACGACGTGCTACTATGGATGATGATAATGACCACAGTTAGTTAAGCAAGTGGCAAATGCTAGGTTCATTATAGTATACGCTAGAAAAAGTTCTTCGGTGACAACGCCCTGCCAGTACATGAGAACGAGTCGACTTACGTAAAGCTACGTCGCTCTAATGGATCCAAAGAACAAGCAAATCGACACTATGAGGAGGTGACGAAACGAGAACATGGAGAGGAGAACGCCAGAGACAATGAACAACGCATGTGCGATGCGAAAAATATCCGGGGTCAGAATTACCTCAAAATCAAAACTGTGTGTGGGAATATGAAACCCCACAATACTGAGACTATACTCTTCTATGATCAGAGAGTGGCTAACTCCATCAGGATAATACCAAAAAACACAACTGTCGACAGTTGTTTTGGAAAACTGGCTGTCCTTGATTAACTAACTTGGTTAGCATTGACTGCACAGCGTCGGGGTCTTTTGTGAGAGCCTCGTAGGTCTCTAGTATCCAAGCCACTCGAGCCTCCTCGGGGACATCTAACCAAACACGATGAGTGCCCGCCTGAGCAGTGGTCTCACGAAGTCGCGTCCACAACCCCGCAGGGAGGTGACAGAGAGGCCCAACTGTACGAGATTCGCATTCCATCCAAATGTGAGAGGACGTTTGCCACTTCGGATCGCTGACAAATAAATGATGCAGACGAGACTCGAATAGCCGCTGATCACATGCCTGCGCAGTGGGTTCAGCACCAAAGATAGAACCTTTGTGATTGGCGATATGCTCAAGGTCGAGAACGGTTTCTTCTGCGTAAGCCAGCTCGGATAATACTAAAGATTTACCAGAGCCTGAAACAGAGTGGACAGAATGTTGTATGCCAGAAACACGGCCGTAGATAATAGTGTGTGCAACAGTGATATGGGCTGCGTGCGAGGTGGGGGGAAATCACGCAAAGCAATGTGCCAGACAACGTTTACTTTTCACAAATTCACACATTGTTTGTTTAAGGATAGTTCAGCCAAAGTGGACAGCTACTAACCAGATGAATTCTCAGGAAAAGCGCTTGAGTAAGCGAAACTGTTGAGAACGCAGTGCAGGACAAATGTCCCACAAAAGACTGTGTGACCCTATCCGGTTGTATTCAGAGAGCACATTGGATATGCGCGAACCCACATTAAATGTAGACATCAACATTGCGAGAATGTGTAAATGGTATGCGTGTACAACCTAAAGGTAAAAAGAGAGCATACTAAGTAGAGGCTCAGTAGTACGATGAGGTATGAATCTGGAGTGAAAAAGAAGCATGGCACGACAAGTGCAAGCTAGTGTAATCTGGGTCGGGTAAGGCCACAGCGGTTAGACGAAACGCATGCCTACTGCGTTACACGTCCAATGTGAGCGTCACAAGAAGTCCACTCATGGATCATACCAAGAAATGACGAACGACATTCATGAGGACAATGGGAAGAGAGCATGGTCAGGAATGTTACATCATTCATCACAATTGAGCAAAGGCGACGGCGGAAGGCTGCTTTGACGTCAGTTGTTATGACTCACGAGGGACTGAAACGGTATACGATGAGTCCGTCAGCAGTGACAGATCAAAGTGAGGACTGCGCAACCGCAGGAGTCAGGGATAATCTGAGTAAAAGTAACCGTTAGTCACTAGCGAAGTGTATGCGCGACTCCAGACCAGACAGTCTATCGTAGATCACGACTGCTTGCATGGCATTGCTCCAAAGTGAATGATGCTAATGGAGCCCGACAAACAAACCATCCGATACTTCATTGGACCGTTTGTTTAGCCTGTACTCCCAGCTTCGCAGTCCTAATGAGTAACTACACCAAAGCCCATGGCCTGTCAATGTCATATGTGATTACGTGCAGTCTTAGGTGTTGACAAGCAGAAATACGGCAAAAGATCGAATAAATAATGACTGAAAAGGTTTGTAGGGGTGATGCGCGCCTTCTTGCTGGTATGGGGGCCTTAGAGTCTACTAAGTAAGCGGTCTGATGCTCTAGTGGACAAGGCCAGGCCGATGTGTCAGTGCGGTCCAAGAATATGACCCCGTGTTTACTTGTTAATTCACAGACAATTACAGACTTTTCAGAACCCTTTCTCCACTAGATTTCAGTTAGCAAATTTGCACCATCTCTTCAGGCTTCTACAATTTGGTGAGTAATCATTCCAATGGTCGTTGAGAGCTAACTTTCAAGGAGAATCAATTCATTCAGCAAAATTAAAGGCATTGTTGATCGATAAATCGTTTTGATAGAAATTGTTTATCCGAATCCATTAATACGGACGTTGTGAATGCATGAGTTACTTCCCCGACTCGGTTACAGAAACAACGAGGAAACCGAAAATGTCGCTGCCCAACGTCTACCAATCAGAGAAGCTGTGTAAATGGAGGAATGCGATTGCTGCGTCCAAAGAACGAAGCTATTCGACTAATTTGGCCGCATCATGTCGTACCGTTTATAGAAGAGAAAACAACGGAAAAGTACAACATAGCGCATTCATACAGGGTTTCCATGTATGTTATCTAATCAGTACCATTACTGACGGAGTTCCAGCAATAGGATTCGCACATTAACCTAATTGTACAGCAGTCGACAACCGTCATTCAAGCAGCGAGCGTGGCGTGGCCAATAACCGAGGCCAACCGGTTCTGATTGATCGGCTATTCCGGAAGTCTCACTGCCACGTCTGCTACATTCGATACACAACCCCATCATATGTTTTGTTCGAGGAAATCATCCGCTCATTCTGACGGGATGCTCTCATCACAAAGGTTAAGAGTTCAACGAACTTCGATGCTCAATTCCTATTTCATTAAACGATAAGTAGCGATAGAATAATAAAGCGAAATACGCATATACAAGCTAAAAAAATGAAGTAGCTACCGTCACGATCGAATGTTGAATATGAATGCTGAAAAGCCAAGCTTGGAATCTGTGAAGACAGAGGAGCAATTTGTCGATGAACGATGAAAAGGAGCACGGGCCAGTAATAAAAAAAACATTTGTATACGCCAATATCAAAGCAGTGTGTTATATGCGAAGCATATGAAATGATTTCATTGTGGAGTATTACATTAATTGTCATGCGTATAGACTGCGATACTCAATATCAAACTAAAGCAACATTTACGGACCACTATGACAGCATCCGAAAAGGGGGTGTGGTTTTGGAATGGCGCACCTCCCACAATGCACTCCACCACCGACAGTTTCATCGTTGCTTGGATATTTCCGCACTTCCATTTCATCTACTCCCATATATATATATATATATTTGATTAAGCGACGTGTGCAAACTTATAGAGGGAGTAAGGAAGACATTTATACGAGGAAGAAAAGCATTAGGAGAAAATTTAAAACCCACCACCTGAAATAAACAAAGTTAGCAAGCAAGAACGCGGTTGGTAAATCGAAAGCAGCGTGCCTACAAACGCTGTGCCGGTTCTGGCTACGTTCTAGGCAGGACCTGTCGTCGCTTCGGTAGTGATAACGAGTGGCCTCGCTCATGGCTCACTAAGTCTGCATGACTCAGGCACTCGCGACCGCATGCGCTACAGCACCATGTGCTCTATGTGGATGGAGTACAACCCATCGGTGCTTTCCACTTCCGCGCTTGCCGCTTCTTCTCTGCATGTATGAGGTCTTTCTCTCGCACTTCGGCAACTGCCTCCGTGATTAGACCGCGCCATGCACGCCGATCAACCGCCTACGATTCCCATAAACTGCGATCAAGAACGTGAGAGGCTCACTTTGATCATGTCATGGTAATGTAACTTTGGTTTCCACACAGGTCGCTTCCCAATATTCAGCTGACCCCCATAACCAGTGTAAACCCGAAGGAATAAGACCGGGAGGCATATGGATGGGAGCCAGGTTTTATCAACGTAGCCGACTCATCATCAACAGCAGTACATCAGCCATTGGAACTGATGCATCGCTGCCATACAACCATGAGGACCTATGAAATAAAGAATAAGAAGAGGGAGAGAAGGGGGACTTACATGAAAACCTCAATGCCCTAAGCAAACATTCTGGGCCAAGGCGCCTACATCTTGTGTATACAACATACCGTCACAAACAACTTGCTGTCGTGCAAAGATAAGGCGGCATCGGCGAGACAGCTTCCTTGCGGCTTTCAATGCACTGCCTCATAATCGGCCATTACCCCGTAGATAACTCAGCATTAAACACCTTTTTAACAGTCAACCCGACTAGGAGATGGCAGTAGACGCGCCACTGGTGTCGGTTGCGAGCCATGTCCTGTACAGTCTCGAGCCAAGCACAAGGTGAGTCACGTGGACTCCAACCCGGAAGGCGAGACGCACCAACGGCACCCAGTTTGGTCGTCAGTGACTTCATTTCCCGCTGCCAAGTCAACTTCTGTCCACCTCGAGCCTTGCGCCATCCTACACCTGACAGACTAAACAAGGCCCTCCTAGGTAAGCGGTGACCAGGCATGCGTAGTACGTGCCCGAGCCAACGCAACTTATTCAGTGTTACCTGTTGTTCTAGGGAGCTAGCATGATTATCACCACCTAGTACTCGCCTACGCACATCATCGTTGCGGACACGCTGGTGCCATCCGACACCAGCAATGCTTCGCAGACAACGATGATCAAAGACTTGAAAGCGCCTCAGATCTTCAGACCGAAGGGGCCAAGTTTCACTACCATAGAGCAAAACGGCCCTTACTGTGGCCTTGTATACACGGCCTTTCAGACGGAGCGAAACTCGCTTCTGTCGCCAAAGATGACGCAGATTCAAGTAGGCAGCTCTGGCCTTTGCAATGCGTGAGCTCACATCAGTTTCTATGCGCCATCATTGCTAATGCAACTGCCAAGATAAGTGAATTGATCAACCACCTCGAGTTCCTCGTTAGCAAGCGTCAAGGGGTCATCAAGTGGCTGATGGTCCTGCAGCAACACTTTGCACTTTGAAGGTGCGAAGTGCATACCAAATAGCCCGTCTGGTCACATTGTGTTCCGAACCAGCCGGGAGGTGTTTTCTAGCTTCCAACAGGTTCACTGACCTCTCGGATATCCAGTGACTAGTGCGGTGACGACTGATAATGCCACAAACAGATGCTCCTGCGTCGTGCATAGCGGCTGAGATCCTATTCCACTGAAGTTCAGTGTCATTAGGACAAGACAGCGAGAGTTCGCTATGCAGTGCTTCTTGATAGGCTTGCCTGACCGAGGGATGGGACAACTTCTCCGTTGCCAATCGGGGGAGACGCTTTGTGCGCCTTCCGGTAAAGCTCATGGAGAAACGACAGCATACCAAGGCATGATCAGAGTCGACACAGGTACTCCAGTATAATCGGCAATCCAGAATCGAACCACGCCACCTGTAACTTATGGCTATGTGGTCAATTTGGGTCCATCGCTGGCCAGCTATAGTGGACGCCAAGTGGCATTTCGGCGCCCACTGTGTGTCTAAAAGCAGTGCTAGTAAGAAACAACTGGTGCTCCGCACACAGTTGCAGCAGACGCTCGCCGTTGTCAGTCCGTTCGGAGTTAAGTCCATACTTACCACCCAGCTGAGCTCCTGAAGAGCTCAGACGCCCTACTTGTGCGTTCACATGCACTGCAAGTACTATAGTATCAAAACTAGTGGCACGGTGTAGTAGCGCGTTCAGTGCTTGATAGAATGTGTCCTTGACAGCATTTGAACTGCAGTCAGTGGGAACATAAGCGGGGATCACAAACAAACAGCGTCTTGTACTACTTCGTGAACCAACTTTAGCGGATGTCGTCACATGGCTGCACATAGACGGCTGTTCACCGGAATCCAATCAATCAACAATGGCACAGCCTTGGAGCTG